TTATCAATGCTTTTTCTTTATAAATAAAGTATAATAGTGAGCTGTCAAAATAATCGGTTAGTCATGTTTGTTCATCAGTCCTTACAGGTCAACTGTTCTTGCTTTGTTTTGTTTTTTAAGATACAAAGCATCAAAGTTAGAATTGTGTGGTGAAATATGTAACTGAGTTTGAGAATGATAACCGAAATAATATTATACGTTTACCCTGACATAATGGAATGCTGAATTGGTTGACATTTTGCACGTTTATTGTGTTCCATTGTCAGGCTAAAAGTGATCGAATTGACTACTTCTATAGTTTGTGGTAAATGGCTCTTAACTTGATAACTGTAAATTATTTTTATCAGATTGAACACTTTCTATGCCTATGGTTGGAATAAACTACAAATGTGATATATTAAATTAAAGAAGACTGGTATATTTAATTCACTTTAAACTATTATTCATAAAAATTACGAATATTCAGTTTAAAACTAAATGGATTGTAATAGTAAAGATAATTTATCGCATCAGTACATAGATCCTGATTCCATGTAGGTCACAGCATGCTTACAAGTGTTTTGAAGTTAGAACTTTCATTCGTATTTCTAGAACACTACTACAGTAGTTTTCAATGTGAGCCAACTAATAGTCCGACTAAAATTGCTGCTTATCGTTTAGATAATTAAATGTCGTTTGCTCACTAGTGAATTGCTTCAAAATGTAACTCCTAGGGTTCTAGTGACTATCCGTGACCAGTGGAACCCAGTCCATGTAATGTGTGAGACCATTATCCACCTTTGGAAATGGATGAAGAGTTGCGAAAGACCATGAATTGTTTGAAGTTGGAAATTAACATCGTTTTATGTCGCTCAGCAGTCTAGAGGTTGAGTGTTCGCGCGAGAGACTAAAGGTCCTGTATTCGAGTCCTGAGTGCGAAATCGTGAATGTGCACTGCTGTGTAACCCGACACTAGGACAAAACGGCCTCCCGGTGCATCCAGGTTTTCACTGGTGGCCTAGTTTAGATCGACTCTTGATTTAAACTGTGAAAATATTTAAACATGCTGAGTTAAAACAGTTCAATATTTAGAACTTCATGACAAGTTACTAAGAAAAAACATCAGCGTTTCTCATCAGATTCTTTTCCTTAGTGTTAGGTTCAATATTTATACCAGTCCACAGAAGCCACAACCTTTATGTTTTACTTGTCTCAACCGTATTCTAATTTAGTATTAATAAGTTGCGTGTATTAGGGATAATTTTCCTAACTAAAATACAATCATTTGAAGAGCTGTTTAAAATTATGAGCATAAACAGTTGTTTTACCTTAGTTTTAAACTATTTATTAGTGTGAATTTATGATCACATACAGGATCAATTTGAACACCTATCTTGAATAACACATGTGGCGATTTCTACTTAAACTCTTTGGATTTCTAACTATGAACAGTGTTATTTAAATGCCACGACTTTAATATCGAGAAAATGGTATTAGGCAATCTCGTTATCTTGTAACAAATGAAATAAAGCTTATGCAGAGCCACACGTCCAGAAAACATTGAGAGAGATATTAGTATTCAAGCTTACAAGACGTCAGCTGTTATCCCCGAAAGATATTATGATACTTTCAGAAACTCATGTCTTTGCAGAGATCACATATATATTTCCGATTTATATTGCCTGAGTTATTACTAATAATCATTTTAGATCCTGTTGTCTTCCTTAAGAGGTTCCATTTATGAATTAATAGCCTGAGATTGTCATTTACTGTGCTATGGTTTCTCAAATTTGTTGCCAAACTAAACATAGCGAGTCAAAACAAACTCCAATTTAGTTTTAGATAAATACCTTGCCAATAAGTTATACGAAAGTTAGTCAGCGTGATCCGCCACTCCTGCTTTCCTGAAATTATTTTTATATATGCCCTTTAATCATTTTTGGAAACTTTGCGTGGTAATTAACAATGATTTACTCTCTACTTTATAAAACTTCTAACAGTATTTTCATGTATTTTATCTATTGAACTAGGTATAGAATTCGTGTTTTATGACAAGCAGTGGTGATAAAGTTAATGTCATACTACCACAGCTATTCCAGTTATATTCTGTTTACTGTAGATCATAAGAAATAACTTATTGTCACATACAGCAAACTAGCTGCGAAAATTTCTGGTCATCATGTCATTAATATTCAAGAGGTGTTGTATTATGTTCCAGTTGACAGCACGTTTTCTGGGAATTCTATATTGTACTTAACATATAATATTGAATAAAGCCATTAATAATAATATCAATAATAATGATCATAATTATGCCTATTTTTGATCTTCTGGTAACTAATTCACCATAGGATCAGTGATTTCTTCAGCTTTAGTCACTAACTTTACAAGGTATTGATATCTGGTCACGTAAGAAAAACAGCTTCATACAATACTTAAACACCACTAAACCAAATAAAAAATCATTTGGAATATTACTTAGTTGTTCACAGCTCTGTAATAATTGCAAGGTTGTGCATTACTCCTAGTTGGTGACGGCAACTAACCATCTACTGGGTTCATTAAAGGAATGCGCTAAATACGTGTTGAATCAATGACTTTAATTTATTTATGTACTCAAACTCATATTCAAAGTCCATAATTAAATATTTTTTTATCTCGGTTGCATTGGTTGCACCAAAGCTCATAAATAAGCTACAAATTAAGGTGAGTCCAACACTTCTGGTCGCCAATTAATTAAAACACTTCTAGAATTTTCATAAAATTCCAATTCGGTTCACTAATCTCAGACGGGCATGGAAAGAATTAATAATGATACCAAATGTGCTGATAAGTACCATTTATTTTAAACAAGATCTAGTCTAATATTTATATATTCATATCAAAGACTCAGTAGTATTTATAAACAGGTTTTAAATTTATTGCCAATAATGTTTAGAGTTATGTAATATGGTGAAATATAAGCTTTCATTAAAGGTAGTCATAAGTCAAGTTTACATTGCATCAAGATATTTAATTGCCATTATGCATGTAAAGTATTTTTAACCTTTTTTCATCACCAATCAGATATAAGTTATATCTGCACTATTTTTGTCCGAGAATAAAATATGTGAGACATTAATTGAGAAAGTTTAAACCATATTCCATATCAATAACACATATTTCCTTCATTTCTATATTTAGGCAATAAATATTAGGTTACCAAAACCGAAGGACTTGTCGATTCTCGATTTTCATGAATACCAAAAATTGTTTTGTATCACTAAGTAATCAAATGAGAACACAGATAAACTTGAATGTAATTATCAGCTGTATTAAATACACTGAAGATAGTCATAGTATAATCACAGAAACAGTTATTTCGTTAATGTATATTTTCCTTCGAAAACGATTACTGATAGGAAAGTTTATACTTCCCAGATGTCATTTAGAGTGATTATATGTTGATGTTGAAAAGATTTTAAAGAAAATTGGAAAAAAGATCTGCTTATTATAAAAAGATAATTGTTAAACAGGAATCATAATGTAATTATTGTACTAAATCATTACACACACACAAGTTATTTTTCCTTCACATAAATTGTATCTTAACTCGGACTATTTTTCTGTATGTTTCATCATCACTTTCTGTAACTATTTCATCAAAATATATTTTGTATTTATTTATGAAACGACTATCTAACAGTCAACTATCATATGATTTTATACGTGTATAATCGTTTAAATCATTAAACGGTATTTTTCATTCTCTCAATCATTCCCATATGAACACGTAACTTATATCAATAAATATATTCATATTATTTATGATTCTTTTTTTAGACCAAATTAAATCTTCAATGTTTGAAGTTTATAAAATGCATGTTTGAATGAATTAGCAAATGATATTAAAAGCTTTTTTTATACTTTATCAAAAATAAAGTCTGATATAAGTAGGTTGTACAATATGTAATCTGGGTTGTTTTATCGATTATAGACGTTGTGTTTTAACAATAGATTTCATATAATGTAGCGTTATTAGTATAAGGTTGTGAAGATTGTTAAGTTTTTATCAAGTTCATGAATTGATCAATGTTAGACCACTATTGAAAACCTGGAAGCACTGGACAGCCGTTTTATCCTACAGTGTGTGTTTAAATTTCTTACTTTAAATGCTATTTTATAGTTGAACATATATTGAACAAAAGAAATATCAGCTTTAAATACTGAAGGTTATCTTATTTTCTAGTTTTATTTAACTTACCCAGGCTAATGCTTTTTTTTAATGGAATCGCCAATGAGCATCAGATTTTATCTTTTTCCATAAAAGTCATCGAAGCCAATAATAAATTTGTAATCAAACCAATGAAATTAACAAAACTCATCATTCACAAGTGTACCATCCAAAGTTCTAATGTTTTTACACGGACAATATTATATTAAACGATATGAAAACATTCAGTAAGGACTAGACAAGCATGACATTGATCACCACCCAGTGATCAATCAATTGTGATTACATCTCAGTCCTACAGGAAGTTAGTCACGGCTCGGATAGCTCAGTGGTAACGTCTCTGGCTGTGAAGCTGGGTGACACGAGATCGAATCCGCCAGGGAGCACCAGTTCCCTCAAGATAACAGGTACACCTTGCTGACGAGTGCCAAGTAGCACGAAACCCGGGTCCAGGGTTTCCTGTTGACTACCTCCAACCACCATCTAAATCTCAGTACATAGTGCCCGCAGTGTCGAGTCACCTAGACTGGTGGCCACATTGCAACATGATCGATAGCATTCGATCTGCACTAATAAGGATTAGACAAGCATGACATTGATCACCACCCAGTGATCAATCAATTGTGATTACATTCAGTATACATTTATAACAATAATTACTTGAAATAAAACCACTTTACGTTTACATCACTTCACAAAGATAATTGATACTTGTACTTTGAACAGAATTATACTTCGTGAATATAACTGGTAAAATGAAAAAAATCTTTACTTAGATATTTGTTTTTACTTTTTGTTTGGCATATAGATTAATAATCATCAAAGCGATTCTGGTGCTGAACTACTGAATAGTATGAGTAATTCATTCATTGATAATTCAGTATCGGATAATCATCAAACAAATTCACAAACACCTTCACATAAGTCTTCTACAACATCAAATCATAACTTTGGTACTAATATTAGCACTAGCAGTATCAATAATAACAGTATAACAGTAGATATTAACAGAAATTATAATTATGATCAGCATCATGATAATAAAATTAATCAAAATACTGATAATTTGAACATTACTGCACGATTACAAAGGCATAATGCTAAACGTGTCATATCACCGAAATACGATCAGATCAACAATGTTTCATCTACGGAACAAGGTCCAACTCAACTATTAAATTCAATGCTTAATGATTTATCGTCTGAACTATCTCAGCATGGTGCGAAAACTAATCCTCGTGGACAGTGTTATGCTTGTAAAAAGCCTATAAATGGAACGGTAAATTTAAATCCAATTACATATAGTTTAGTGATTACATTGATTCTAATAATATTTCATTCTTTTATTCATAAAATACAGTATGTATTTTTTCCAATTTCGGTTAAAGAGTCGGTATCTAAATCACTGACTGAAGTACTTTTTGTGTGTCAAACAATGAACTACTTCACTTTATGATACTCTAAATCAATAACATGTTTCTAAAGCATGAAATATTTTTTTAGAATAATAACAATAATAGTAAGTCCGCTGGGTCCAATTATGGCAAATACATTTATGGGTTATTTTGAAAACACAGAGATTAACGAAACAACGGAATACTCCAGACATATTGATTATACGTCTATTGTCTGCAATAGCAGGCATTATTTCATTCGCCTGTAACAATGCTCATTCTAACAATTTACTATAGGGCACGAAAAGATTGACATGTTCCACTTTCTTGTCATTGCTATACGACTAAAGGAAAACGGAATAGTTCAACGTTAAGTTTATTGAAAAAGTTCTTGAAATGGTCTTTACCTGAATTTCAAAAGCCTTTTTTCAGTCATTTATAAGAAAGCATTGGTCAAAATACTATTTTACAGAGTAGAGAGGATGTGTACCACCGGTAAACTGTAAAAAGAATTGATGAATGTGGAAAAGGTCTAGGGGATAACCGCTACTCACAGAAAGTTTTCGAGAAATCCAAAACAATCTAAAAAAACAAGATGGGTGTGACTGTAGTCAAGAAAAAACCAGTATCTATAAATCATAGCTTTAAAAGTGGTGTTATAGAAAGGGCAATCATCAGTAGGCTTAAAACTCCATTGGCCATAATGTACTAGGCTGCAAAGCTAATAATGCTGTATAAAACAGCATGTTCACTAAAGCAGTAAAAGGTCGACAAACACCCTTTTCATGTCACTGCCAACCGTGTTCATAAATTTACGTGTACCTGCTTAAGCATCTAAACTGACAGAACAGAAAGAAAGGTACATATTAGAATTTTTAAAATGTTCCAAAAAGTCTTCAGACTAGAAAGAAAACTACATTAAACGGCGCAGTAACCAAACATCTCTTGGATACAGGATATCAGGTGGTTGATAAATAGCCAAGCTCTAGTCTTCTAAAGTTCACTGACGACGTTGCTATCACGCGTGAAAAACTTTATATGACGTGTTAAAATGGAGATTGTTTTTTATCTTTTTTTTGCATTGGCGACAAATATTCCTTCATTATATCGTAAAAACTTTTGTTCAAATCTTCCTTCTAACTGATTACATGGTTACATATATTTTATTTTGACTGTTTCCGAGATTATTAACTTTATTTTATCAGAAGGGGGTTTTGGGGAGATTTTAGTAATTCAGTAGTTAAATTCATGAGTCGATTAAAGTTAAACCACTATGGAAAACCTGGAAGCACTAGACCTTAACACCGTTGGATGCAGATTCAGTTGTCTAGAGTTTTGGCACTCTTATGCGAGACCGGAGGTCCCGGGTTCGAATCCTGCGGGCGGCATCGTGGAAAAGTCCTATATTGGAACAAAATGGCCACCCAGTGCTCCCAGTTTTTCCATGGTGGTCTAGCGTTAATTGACTCATGAATTCAACTATTAAGTCTTATTTTAATTAATTGAGCTTTGCTCATTTTATTCTTACTTAGTATAACGTGTACTCATTGAGTAACCACTTATTTCTAGGTCTTTGAACATTAGTTACTATCACCTGTGTGGAATATTCTTTTACGTAAGGTATATATCTACAATATTTTATTGTCTGTTAAATTTATTTACACCCTTCCTATGCTTTACTGATATGGAATCTTCGTAACTTCCACTTAAACTCTTTCATGTAAGTAATTTAAACTCATTTTGTAATTATAATTTTTATATATCACAGGTTTTAAGCAGCTGACAAGAACCAAGCGAAATAATGTGAACTTATGATATTCTGTTCAAACAATTGCTCTAGCTCTCTTCAATAATGATAATAGTGATAACGTTAACGATAATAAAATCTATACAATAGGTATGGAGACCTAACTGAAAATATAGTTAAAAACGATAATACAGTTAACTGTACTTTATTTCACTTAATTAACGTAATAACTCTTATCGTTATTCTTTTTTGACCGTTTGAGGTTTTATCATCCTAACCATTTAAGTTTTGATTATATTTCTTATTTCTTCATTACTGATATAAACTGTTATTTATATCATTGTTATTGTCAACATTATTAAGATCATTTTATAAGTGATTATTTATTATTTTATCCATTTTAATGATAACAATTTGTGAGTTGATTACATCAGAAGCCCAATAATCTATTGTTATCCGATATATCCGATATAACTTGAACATTTATAAGAGGTGCGAAATAACTTATTAAAATATTTTGTATTAGGAAACTCAATTACTCTATCAATTCTTCTTTTTACAACATTAAAGTCTTAGAAATTTGCCATGCAAGAAATTAGGTACTTTTATAGAAGATTTAAAATAGACAATTCGATTTGCTTACATATATACATAACATCTATTCCGATCTCTTGCATTTGCTTTTACTATTCCAATATATATAACAGTTAATAACAGCTATTGGTAAAGAATGGCATCCGGAACATTTCACTTGTGCTAGTTGTCGTGTTGGCTTAGTTCGTCAAGATTTCTATGAACGTGATGATCAAGCTTATTGTACTCAATGTCATCTACAAATGTTCTCACCTAGATGTGGTTATTGTGGCGAGGCAGTTGTTGAGGTTTGTTAATTTAATATTAAACATTGTTGTTTTTACTTTTCTTTTCTTTAAAAGAGAGGATAAAAATTCAAAATAATTTCAAATAAGTTTATTTAGTTAATGAAGCCACTATGAAGACATTCACCATAGCTATTATATTTTCTAAATAACAAATATCACTATTCAATAAATTATCCTATAGTGTTATCTGCTCATTCAGCCAATTTTTTTACTACAAGATGTATTCTAGAATAAGAATTGCTTAAAAGAAAGTATGGAATTTTAGATGATTAAGTGGAAAAAAGCTTTTGATCAAGATTCTATATAAATTTGAAATCACCAGGGAAAATGTTTGAAATTTGAAGAAACTTGCACTCTTTTAAAGAATCGAATTATTATGGCCCAATGTTTGAGACTTCACAAAAAAATTTACACGCTATTAATTATAATCATTTAAAATGTGGGTTACAATTTCAATTCACTTGATTCATTAACTGCATTATGATGTAATTGATAAAATTCAATAATTTGATTTAGGTTAAAACTCAATGACCAAACGATGTAAGGCTTAAGATGTCTAAAATAATGTTGTCAATCTAAGTTATAAGAAAAAAAGATTCAAGGAATAGAGAATCAATAACTTGTACTTACAACTAATTTCGACTGGTGACTAGATTTTTTGTTATGAAATTGCCTTCCAATAATTTATTTCACTTGCTTTCTAGAAAATATTGATTTTCTGAAGAAATTAATGACATCGCTATAAAGATTGTAATATTTTTAATGACTTTATCATAACTGAAACATTCAGTATTATTAGTGTGGATAAATGCACACGATAAGAAACCCTTTTGTCTGTTTTCTATTTATTTTGTGTCTCTATTTATCAAATGTATATGTCATATAATGGTCTTATTTTCTAAATATTTGGGATCATACAACAAGTATTGGGTTAGATCTATTTAATTCAGATTTTTAGTTAAACTCCGTTAAACTTCTGGTTTCATGCATATGTTACATTTGTATACAGAAATAATTAAATTATACCTTGGACACAATTTTAAAGTACCCCAGGTATGTCTAATAACATACATACACTAACACATATGTACACTGATACAACTATTACATAGACAACTAGTTTGTATTTCAACCTGTATATAATAAATAATAACACTATGACTAATGATGAATCATTGCAATCGAAGTACTTACACAACATAAACGTCCACATCTATATATGTATATGCAAGCACAGACATTCGTCGCTATATTTTTTAGAAATATTATGAGGATCACATCTTTGCATGTGTGTTTTTATCGAAAATTTTACTTTTTTTATTAAATCGTTAATCATCAGTGGAAAAAATTGATTATTAAGTCCTTTTTTATCTTCATTTTTTTCACTTCATAACCTACATTGATAAAAACAATAACAACAAAATCTGTTGATTTGTTTATTTCGTTTTTTTTTTGAAGTTATGACGTAGGTGATTCATTGTATGCCAACATCTTCATACCCTTATGTTTATTGCAATCGGATTGAGTTATTTGCATAGTGAACGTTTTGTGCTTTACAGGAGAATAAAAGTTATAATGAATTAATTTATGTGAACTTGGAAGTATGGATGATTGGACATTCAATAGATAATCTAAAGTTGACTCTACCTATCAAACCTGAAGGTCCTGAATTCGATCCATAATATGTCATTACATGTAACTGAGGGAATAAAACAATTGCCTAGAGCTCTTTAGTTTTCAAGGTTTTATTAGATGAAGTTAGTCTATGATGAAAACTATTTCGAAGTTTGATTTGGTTAACTTTTAATTAGGTTTGAATGATTCGAATGCAGCAGTGAAATATTTTGGTCTGTGAATGATTGAATACAAGTTTGACCTTTTTTCCTTCAATTCCCTTCAAAACACACTGAGTGACTTGACTGTTTTTCTTCTTCCATGTAAAAATAAAAATCACATGATGTCGTTGTTGTAAATGAAGTGTACTAATTGACTAATTGTTAACTATTAGAATGTTATAATGAATAGTTTACTAAGATTTACTAAATATTCAGTACAGTATTGATCAGAGTTGTATCTGCCGTTTACGATGATACTAAAATACTCAGTTTTCATTTTGTGTACAACTGACTTAAATAGGCAAGATCCAACCGAAAATGACCCTTAACTAAATAAAAACTTCAATATAAAGTTAATTTCAACACGTAATGAAATTACTGATAAATCAATTAAAAATTACATCCATGGCAATTAGATTTGATATTTCAGAAAAAATTAATTACTGGATTCTCGCATAAATGTTAAATATTGAACAAAATACTTTACACTGTAACAATTATATACTTTTATTTGGTATTTACCTAAACCAAAAGGAGTTTTATTGGGTTATTACTTAAAATGTGATGTAATATACTTCTAAACTTTTCAATCAGTTACTATTAATCATCTCAACGCCTGGGACAAATATGTTTTAGCTCAATATCCCATACCACATTAACACTACAAAATAAAATAAATCAGATCAATATCAAAAGGAATAATGTTGGAACAATGACAATAAGAAATTAAACTTTGGTAAAATGTTTTCATAAGACGGAATGAAAATATATGTATGAAAGAGTATTTGAACTCACCATCTAGAATAAAATTAAGAGTGAGGCGAAACTATAATTTATAGATGACTTATCAACGGATGGTGAGTGACCTTGAGAAATTTCAGCCAATCAAAAGACAGCTGGTATAGATCAAGAATATATTCTACAAAACTAGAGAATTAGAGTGTATACACTTCTTTGGCGTCGTTTAAACACTTTCCAAGGTTAAAAAGAGGCCCTGAAGTTCTGAAATCGTAATGCATACAGTACCGGGGCCCATTCATGTGACACCATGATCGTCGACCTCTGGAGATATGATAAGGTCACAAAAATTCTTTTAGCCTCGACCACACTGCTTCTGCATTATTGGTGTGTATTCCCGCGGTTGCGTCTACAAAATGTCGCTTGTGAACGGCGATACGATACAGGTAACCAAGTCTAGGTCACCCGTGTATAATGTGGTATCTAGCTGCACATACTCTCGTATAATTGGTATTATCGTTGTAGCTTGTCGGTTACTCACGCACTGGAAGTGATCGTTTAGAGACATAGTCACACATAGTCTGTCATACATACCGAAGACCTCAGTATACTTAAGAAAGTTCTACATACCCAGTTTTATTTAACACTTTTTATATTAAATCTGCGTTTTCTAGTGAACGTTTCGTCTATTTCTACGATTCTCCTGATTCAAGCATTTTCATAGCACAATTTTCTCCACAGTACTCATACTACTGAAGTGTCGAAGCTTCAAGTAACATCTGCAAAGGTTGCAGCCAGTGTTAATGGTGCATTTATTATCCAATTTACAAAAATTATCATGACCTGTCTTAATGTCAATCAATATGGAGTGAAAAAAGTACCCGTTTTAGCAACATATATCACATCGAAAAACAGCATCGTCACGATAGTCTGTACAATGTCCATCAGTCATTTGAACATTGCAATCACAAATGAATGAATTTCCCAGCAATCCCACCAGTTCTAGTCGCTCAAATATAACGATCTCCTTGAAATCAGCTGTAAACCGATCATGAATGAGCATTGTATACTGAAATAGGCTCCGTGACCTTTAAATCACTCAATCATTTCTGATTGGCTCGTTCATAAATTATAGTCTCACCAAAATTGAATTCATATGCGTCATAAAGTATTATTGTTAAAGAAATTGCAATTTATCAAATTCACATCAAAATATAGTTGATAAAACACATTATAAAATGTCTTAGTTTACATGGGTTGGCTTATTACTTAATCTTAGTGACTAATTAAATTGCTTACAATATCTTAGTTTATCATATGGTTCGTGATTCATTTTTAAAATATCTTTTAACTCATTTAAACAATCTATTTTTTATTTATATAATATAATAAAACAAATATCTGGTCATGTATTTTATTTTCCATAATAAGTATAACAATTAACTTCAAATTATCAGTAACTTATTCAATATTTCATGAATCTTATGATTACTTTAATCATATTTATGTTTTCTATGGACTATTTTTTTTTAAATAAAAAGCTGTTTAACCTTTGACATTTAAGTTAACTAGACAACTGATTCCTACTAGATCCCATGTTAAACATTTATTAGCTACAGTTAACCTCTCTATCTTATCATAAGGTTACATAATTTTTTTCCCTATATCCATTCGTCTTGTGATTAGCTTTCATGAAGAGTATTGCAGAAAATTGCCTGCATAAGTTTATTAGAAAAGTATGTAGTAGATACATTTTATGAATTAGCAATCAATGATTGATTAAGATACAAATAAACTTACTTTAGCATTGATATATATATCATAACGCATGTTTCTTGGCCATGTATACTACTAAATGTTGCTAAACATCATTTAAACTGTTTAAATTGAGTGTGCCAATATTGTGTAATTCAATCATGTGTGTACTTGTGTATACAATGAATTTTTGTGTTCAATTTCTTTGTTCATATCTGCAATTCTATTTAAGCATGTTACAGGAATTGCAAAAAAACTGCTAGTGCAAGACGAAAATTTTATTAAAACATAAACTTTTTGAACATTTTATTGATAACTATGCATTGTTGTGTTGCCAGCTAATAAGGTATACTGATTGGCTAAATGACGTGTTCTCCTTGATAGATGTAGGCTTAGAGTTTATAAGTCAACATAGTTAAGTATATTTTTCTTGAAAATCTTCTTGGACAAAGATATAACTACTGTCCAGTACTCTTTGATTGTATGAGGTTGTACTTCAATGGTCTGGACAGTAAGTTGTCGACTGTCATATCATGGATTTGAATCCATTTGTCTTACATGAAGTGTAAGTCATAATCTAATGGTCCTATTTGCATTGAATTACAAGCCTTATTTTTCCATATGATCTTGGTAATATCTCTGTCAGAGTGGGAAACATATATCATTTAAAACTTTCATATGATGAATGCTTTGATGTTAATGATCATTAAGATGCTGGGTTCTGACAGAATCGATTGACAATAAAACTACCCCAATTAGATCCAAAGATCTTAATTGAAAGTTTTGAAAGAAGCCAGGCTTTCTATCGATTCCATGTTTCCGTATGAGAGACATAGCGCATTGTCATCTTACATCTATCTTTAGTTAGTTTTTGGTTCCTGAAGCATATGACAGTGACCATCCTTATTTTTTAACTGAAAGAGGTGTATATATCACCGGTCACACTTTATGAGGATCAAGTGAAACAAACAAGGACCAATATAAGTCTAGTTTTCCATGACACAGGAATTATAGCTTGAATACGTGAACATGGTTTATTCACATATACCTATCTCAAGTATCTTTCTGAATATTTTAGATTACCATCCATAAAATCCTCAAAATACCGACTACTTACCGTTCCAAAAATAACGTGAAATATATCCGCTTGGTCTATACTATTGTTTGAATAGCAGCTAGTATCTTACAACTGATGGAATAATAATTTATTAAATTACTTGCTAAATTTTGGTTTATTTGCACTGTATATTTCAATACAATTACAAAACATTTTAAAATTACATTGTACTACTTGTATCTTATAAAATAGGATAAGATGTCTAAAGTACATTTCTCGATAGATCTCGGCAGATTTCCGAATTTTTTAATCCAATTTTCCCTACTTTCGTTGTCTTATTTAGGTGTAAAATACAGAAATTACACAGTTGTGAGATAATCTTCAGCATTCTTCAACTATGAATAAATATTGTTTTTTTGCGCTTGGTGATCTAATTATATCTTAATTTGAAACTGAAGAATTATTAGATTTGAAGTCACTTCCACCTGCCTGTGTTTGTGCAACTTGATAGTGTCGTCCTCCATCACATCTGAACTACTGCAAAAACCCTTCATATGAACTCGGTACTGTATACTGGATTTTTTCCAGATTGTATCTACTATCTATCTCAATCTTGGGAATGATATTGTGTTCATACTTTAATCACTTTTGGACTAGGGTATTTTGTGCTCTGCTATCCTTTCACTTACTAAGATATTTATCACCATTGTTCATTCTTAAATTTTATCTGTTATTTAATTGATAATTTGAAAAACTTTATTCATCTCAATATATTCAAATGATATTTGGCAAAATGAGTTAAAAGTATTCATGGAAACGGGTAATGAAATAGGAAATGTTTACTAAAATCACTATTTCTTAATTTATTTTTTAAGCTTCGTATTTAACTTAAAACGACTTATGACAAAAATTCTTTTCCTATGAATATATCTCTTAAGTTTTTATAAAACTATTTCAACTGTTTTAGAAATGTGTTTTGGCTTTGGCACGTGCATGGCATCCTGAGCACTTTTTTTGCTACGAATGTCATTCCACTTTTAATGGATCGTTAACAGTACATGAACAGAATGGCAAATTTTACTGCTCGTAAGTTTCATAATGTTAAATAGTGATTATGAAGACCAGCTGAAGAAGAAATTAGTTAGTTACCTAGTGAAACTGATTATGTAAGGATAAGAATAAGAGATAAGTAATTCATGTGCATATTAATATGGTTCACTTGATTGCGAATATACGTGATTTAAAGAAAAAGGCTGTAAAAACGTTTTATGGGCTCATGAATTGAATTCATATATATATTTTTATACAAATTACTACCAAGCAACCACTCCATCTGTGTTAGAATTAACAAATGCAAAGAATCACTCATTACTTCATAGCCTACATTTTTATCTATGTTCAATTAGTTATTATATCAGAAGTCAAATTATCTTAGTTGGATTTTTTTATTCATAAATCATAATTTCGATTATCTTATAGATATTTAGTTAGTTGACCAGAAGCCTTATCTTTTAAATTATCTATGGTTGCAATTTGCCTATCAATTTCACAAACAAATTACCTTAGTTATTCCGACAATTGTATGAATTAATTTTATCATTGTAATAACTTGGAGCTAACCATCGGAGTTAGGCTAACTGTCAGCGAGAGAGAAAAAAGATGAAAACGATTCACAATGTAGATATTTTTCATAACCTATCTCAACTTAAAGAGTTTATTGAACTGGCTAATAGAACATTTCTCTTATTGCTAATATTAAATTCATAATCAAATAAACAAACAAGTGATTTGATTTTTAAATAAACTGTCAGTCTAGTGTAATCTATGTTTATTTGCTTATGATTTATAATGGTAAATTTTATTAGTTTGATTTTATAGATCAAATTCATCATAAATTATAATCTACATTTAAGGCAGGTAGTTTTCAACAAAATTCACTTATTTCGTAACTCATAAGAATTTCAGCGAAGGGATCTCTTTTCAACGAATTTATTATCAAGCTGTACAATCGTATATATATGAAAAATTTTTTGATTTTGTAAAAGTACTAATTCCATGAGGAAATGTGAACACAGTTAATAAAAAGGGTTATAATACTAGATTACGTAATATGAATAAAAATAATAACAATAGATTTAGTGATTATAATAAGATGATTAAAATGATTAAAATGTTTTTGTTATAATAATAATAATTAAAAAAATTTTTCATATATATACGATTGTACAGCTTGATAATAAATTCGTTGAAAAGAGATCCCTTCGCTGAAATTCGTGTTTTAATTTTAATGTTTAAATGGGAATCATCTGTCATAAGAATTTGTTCAGTTAAAATTTCCAATCTTCATTAACTATAAGACTTTACATTTGGTGGCTTACTTTCCGTTATTAAGTAACTAAACTTAATGTTATTTTAAACTATTTCCTTTAAATTGTAAAACTTATAAATTAATTCTTTCTATATGAAGTAACTGCTATTTTACACGATTTGGAACTCCATGCTCTGGCTGTCAACAACCTATTACAGATGCATACATAACTGCATTGGATATGCCTTGGCACAAAGATTGTTTTACTTGTCATGTAAGTCATTTCATTCAATTAATTTTGATTGCACCGCTACTTTTGACAACTTTCTTCTAAATTCTTTTGCTTAAAAATTCTCATCGTATTGGAAGTATAGACATATGAATCAAGAATTTTTTCCAATAAATTCTTTTCAGTTTTGACAATTATAAATCCAAATTAATTGTTGAACGAGATGGCTAACATTAAAGCATTCTTGAATATAGTAGTGTATAAATTCAGGATCATTTGTAAAACGAAGTATAATCGTTAAGTTTATTTATATTCGCATATGTCTGACCAAACATTTAGCTCCATTTGTAATTGAATTATTCTCTCACCATATACTGTCTACATTTATTTGTAATATTATTCTTACAATCCTATGTAAGGTATAAACCAATTCAAGTTAACACCGCTTACTAGTTATTTTAATGTTATTATATTTTACAAACAATCATATGGTTTGTAGCGTAAGCGAGATATTCGTCCGACGAATTTTCTGTGTAACTAGGTGTCATTACCAAGGTTTGATTTGATAATTTCGAATAAATTGAGCATTGGGTTCATTGTTATAAATAAAAATAATATATTTGTAATATCCCAATGAGTAGAAAATTGGATTTTCTGACGTTTCGTGACTTAGTGTAAGTCACTTCTTCAGAGAACAAATAATATTTTCTGTGTAACTGTTCGCTTCGTTCTTTTTTGCGGGTGTAAGCATAGCCATTAAGGACAGAGGATATCTTCAGATTCCTGTTCGACCACAGGTGTCTTCGAAACGTCACTCCTGTATTTTTGGACCACCGAGTAAGCAACATCTGAGTCTAAAATAACGTATTAGGTAAATATTACAAATCATTTGATGAAGAAGTAGATCTTCATCAGTTGAGGCGGTGGGGTCATGTGTCACGTAAACCTAACCACCTCCTTCCTCGAAGAGTGATGCTTTCTCGAGTAAAAATAGGTTGAAAGAACGCTGATATAGGTTAGATTAAAATGTAGCATTGGTCCATGAATTCTATGACAATTAAACTGAGCCATGTAGGTAGGTATAGAATACCTGGTCATAACAGCGTGATTATCGTAACTTGTAGTTAGAGACTTTGAATGACGTTGGCAAAATCGTTTGCAGGGGTACAGGTGAATTCACTCTTTGTTTTCCCCTAAATTTCAGGTTTTAAATTCCTCATACTCTTTTTATTTCACTAACTTATATTTCCTTCGTCTTTTTGTAAAGCACATGTTTCCAAATTCCTCAAGCACTTTTCACTAATTATGTTATATTTTCTTGAATCGTATCCTCGATGCCCAATCTTGTTTATTACCATTGATATTATTGCTATCTCAACTACCCTGTGATTCGGCCTAAAGTCTTCGTTTTGTTGTACCACTGCGGTTCGGCGAATCGAACCGATGTAAATAATTACCGCGTTCAACGTTTAATCGGACAGAATGACTGAGTTGCAATCGTAAATTCATATACTATAACTTTAAAACATGTATTTGTTTCAAACTTGACATTCTCTTAGACCAATAATTTGAATTTACAATTGTGGTTCCTGATAAAAACCTATTGAAAAGGATATTTTTCGTTCATATATCTGTACCTTTTTGTGAAGGAATATAGTTTAGAAATATGTTAGATTTGATCAATGAGTAGTAATCGACTAATGTGGTACAATCGAAAAATGATTTTTTTTTGAAAAAGCTACAATTCCAAAGATTTCATAGTGTACATCAATTTTTAGCTATTATAAATATTTCGGAGATTTCATTGTACTTGGAAAATATAAATTGACAACGCACGCTTCAGTAGAAAATTTGAACTGTACACAATCCACTGTATGAAAGAAATTAATTAACAACTCGTATCATTAGTAAACCAAAATTTTTGAAGTCACTCACAGTTTGATGATCAAACAATATGCTTTATTTATATTTCCTGTCTTATCTAGTTCAACTTTATCTTTCCAATCCCCTCCATCATTTTCCTCTTTTAATACAGGATTGTAATAGAATACTCACTGGATCAAGTTTTCATGAAATTGAGGGATATCCTTACTGTGATTCTCACTATTACTCAAGACGTGGATTATTATGCTCTGCATGTTCATTACCAATTACTGGAAGGTGTGTAAACGCACTTGGTAAACGTTATCATCCAGAGCACTTTTTATGTGCTTATTGTTTACATCCATTACAAACCGGTACATTTAAAGAACATTCAAGTAAACCATACTGTCATCAGTGCTTTACCCAACTGTTTGGTTAGTATGGTGCATAAATATCTACATTTATATATACATACATATTACTGTTTTTTCTTCTTGTTTAAGTTTCAGATATTGAAGGTTGGACAGTTATGTTTATTACCTTTAAACTGTCAAAATATTATGACAAACAGTAAATGTTAAATTATTTTTAAGTACTATTCAGCTTATGTTTCAAAGTATTGTACATAGTGTTTGTATCCTTTTTTTTTTAGTTAGTCTTACATCTCATAACGTGTTTCTTGCTTAAGCTCAACAATTTACACGAAGATTTATCAAGCACACTGTGTTAGTCAATATTACACTTTTGAAACTACATAACATCTAAATGTGTGTTTCATATATGTTTTTATCGCCAAAACACTATTTGATGTAAAAAGTAATGTATTCGTTTTGTAATTTGAGTATTACGTTATAACTCATGATCATCTTCATTTAATTGAATATTTTGAAATCTTTACGTGTACTAAGCATTTTGATAATTACTCAATCAAGAACGAAGTACATACGGTCTAAATAATTGAAAATTATTACTGTTATGATTTAACATCTATTTTTTGGTCCTGATATATTGCTATATGTACACTTGGTGTTAAAAATGTCTCCATAGTTACTTTCATATTTATTTTCATAGATAAGTAGTTAGATTATTGTAAAATACTGAACACCTTAATGTTGACTAACTTACTCAAAAGCTTAGAAACCGAACCTATGTTCTACAGTTGATATGAGCATAGCAAGATAGTTGATGACTTAACGAGATTTAGAACAAAATATCATCAACTGTTATAAAACAACTTGCGTAATGCTCAGTAGTAGACGTGCCTTTTATAAGGGACATTTTATTGTCTCTATAAAAGGAGACATTACTACATAAGACGTCTGTGAATATAATCGGTAAACGACTAACAATAGTTGACAACAGAATAATATTGAGAATCAAGTAACAAATAGAAAAGAAATATAATGTCTAAGTCCACGTCAACGTTGGGCTTGAAATCATAGGGGCAACAGTCATAGTTTATAAATATTCCCAATATCTAGCTTAAAACGTCATCTTCCATTGAGTAGTTGTAAGCACAAATATAAGCTTAAGAAAGAAACCACACCAAAATTTCACTCTTTCTCTCTCTCTCTCTCTCTCTCTCTCTATATATATATATATATATATATATATATATATATATATATATCTGTTCTCTGTTGTTTGGGTTGTAGTTTACACGTTTATCAATGGACAATTACTAAAAATGAACCAGTGCAGAATTTTGACATTCTGTTTTCCGATTCTCATATTGATGTCTGAAGTGGTTAAGTGTTAGGATCAGTTATGCACCTCATGATCACAAAGGATATAGTATAGTATCATTTTTGCGGAATTCTCCTGCTGCTAAGATTGTGAAAGTATAAAATGGAAATTTTCGAAGACATACTAGAACTTCTGGAAGATGTTATCAGATTGTAGTCTGACAGATGATTATAAGCTGCCTTTAAAATCTTAATAGCTTAAGGCGGACATTTCGTGACACAAGACAAACTGCACATGCAGTTTGAGCATTACTAGATGTGAAATATACGATGGTTTCAGGCCTTTGTGACTTTAAATTCAATCCTAATTGTGAAAAAATTTCACGAGCACAACACACGCCACCATATTTAAATTCCAAGTTGACTAGTACGGCAAAAGATATTTCCACATTTTTATTCAGCTCTAGCTCCAGAGAATATAATTACTTGAAAAACTATCCAAAGCGAAATCGCGAAATTCGTTCTTGGACTCAGGTATTTACATTTTATCTCAATCTGTTTGATCTGGAGTGATTTTCTGTTGACATTACATTATTTAAAGTTTCTCGGCCTGATTTACTTTAAATTGAACGAAACGTTGTTGCCGTTACTAATCCAAATAAATTGAGCATCTCTTAACTGTGTTTTTTTAACATTTATAAAATGAACTTTGCGTTTATACTTTCCTTACTCTTCCGTTTGAACGTGTTAAGCATGTATGATTGACATTCATTTTCTCGTTTTTCTCTGGCTTCGCTGCAATGAACGGTCGAGACTGCTTATCTAAAATAGTATTTTCTTGCGTCTGTTGGTCATCGAAAAAAGCAGATTTTATTCTATCTATCGATTGAGTTTCTCTCCTGTCCCTTTTGTCAATGATGAAGTGTCTAGTTATTCATTCGATCACTCGGTAAGGTTTTTTATATGGTTACTTTAATGGTTTTCGAATGACGTCGATGAGGACAAAAACGAATGTGCACGTCTGTGGATATATTTTGTGTCATACCTAATAACCATGTTCAAGCGTATGTATCGCATTATTCTTCTGAATAGTCTGTAATAAACAGCTTGCAAAACGCATTCTATCGCTTAATGTATTTTCGACAGGGTTAACTGGTTGATTCCTTAAGACCAGAATTTTACTGTAGAATTGTTCAGCTGATGTGCTGCATATAACTAACTTGTTAAAATGAAGCTCAGGGAGGAATCGTAGTAAAACGTCATTCCATTATGTCGTGTCAATCCATGACATCACCAAGCATTTGAGTGACGGCGAAATTTATATGCTCCACTCCTAAAAGCCTGGTGAACTTGTACAATTATCGTCTAATCCGTGGTTAGTACTGCTCTAGTAATAAATGTAGTCCTAAAATTGTAGATTTATGATTATGCTACCGCCTAATTCATAATATCTTATGTAGAAGTCACATCATTTTCTACACCAACTCATCGTATATGTGATGGAGAACATATTTAAGCTGGAGATAGAACAATATTTTTAATATGAATAAAAGAGGTAAGTTACACAGGGATAACCACGCCTGCGAGGTTGAGCCATGCCATCTGATTGAATTGAATTAATTCTTCCCTCCTTCTCCAATGCTGGTCTTCCCTCTGCGTTAAATGTTGAATATCTATTTCCCCAGTTATCTCGTGTTCAACTTTGAGGATTGTGTGGTTGATGTCTAGTGCCACCCAGACACCTAGGACTGGACAACTGGATAGTGGGAACATCTTTCTGTACTGGTGGTAATCTGATACACAATAGTAAAGGAATACTGAGCTGTCGACTGTGCTTACATATCTTTAACGAGGCATTCTGTTTTTCACCTGGTAAACCTGTCAACAATGATAATGATGTGGGTGAAAGAGTTGAAAGATGAGAGGTAACCGACGATATCTATACGAAGTTGTTGGAAACGTCTGTCGCATAATGACAATTTTTCATTGGCACTGATCAAACACTGCGCTAACATTGTGTGCAGTTTCTTGATCACATTTTTACGTCCCAGTTCATTTTCGGCTGGAAAAAGATTTCGTGATGACTTTTGTTGTAGTTCGGATCCCGGTGTGTGAAAGATCATAGAGCTGTCGAAATACTATTTACCGGTAAACTTTAGGGCTAAAGGGTGGGTATTACCTTGTAGCGGTAAATAAATCCCCAAACTAAATAGCTCAATAGGTTTTCGACATTGGATGCTGACCATATGTTTTAGTGGACTCATCTAGCTGAAGGCGCTCGGTCATGCATCCGCACCAGATCACGTGCTGTCACGCTGTGCTCAACAACAATCGCAATCACTAGCCAGATTAGATCAGAGATTCCCGATATATTGGTTATCGCCAAATACACTCTTCCGATCTCCTCGACTCTGTCTTTTGATTTCTCTCGGTGGGAACAAAGCATATTAGAAGGTGTTACTGGTAGAAGCGTTGTCAAACACTGAATACCTGTATCGTCATCATTGGTGAGACCGTCGTGATCTGGTACACATAATTGCAACTGTGAGTCTGTTCCTTTTTGGAATTTTTATATATTATTACCCTAATTTTTTTAAACATTGTGATTTTTTTTTCGTGTTTTTCCTTGGATATATATATATTTTTCCCCTCGTTCATTATCGTACTTCATATTTCATCATGGCTGAACAGACACCCAAAGTACTCAAGCTTAAGACTTTGTCCCCGCCTTCGTTTCAACTCATGCCTTTCTGGCCCGACAATATCGAAGCCTGGTTCTGCTACGCAGAATCCGATTTCTCCGAGCACGGCGTGATCGACACACGTGCACAATTCCTCGCAGTAGTCAAGGCACTACCGCGCGAATTCAACAGGTACGTAACACCTAGTATGTTTACTAGTGATGTTTCTGAACCTTACGAAATCCTAAAACGTTCGATTCTTAAACGAGGAGACCTAACCGATCGACAAAGGTTAGATCAACTCTTCAATAACATCGACCTGCAACACGGTTCTGCGACTGACATGTTGCAAAGAATGAGAGAATTGATAGGCCTAAGGACTTTCGACGAAGGTCTATTTAAACAACTTTTCTTGTCTAAACTTCCTCAACAGGTGCAAGCGGTTCTGGTCTCGTTTCAGAACAACGCCTTAGACGAGCTAGCTGCATCTGCCGATCGTATTTTAGAAATAACGAAATCGTCTACTTCAGAGGTATTTTCCGTCAAAGAAAAGCCTCACGCGACTCAGAATGACATAACCGAGTTATGTCATACACTCACGCGTTATCTTAATCTTCGTAACGACCGTAGTCGCTCACGCAGTCCACGTAGAAGCATTTCGCGTAAACGATCTGTCTCTAAACCACGAGAGACGGATAACCCTGACTGGTGCTGGTATCATAACCAGTATGGGAAATCTTCCAGAAATTGCAGAAAACCCTGCAATTTTCCCAACACGAAAACGACTGACTCGAAAAACAATTCGGGAAACTTCCAAGCCGGCACGCGTTAACGGCAACCGTAGCCGGCGAACATAGCCGTCTGTTGTACGTCACAGATGTGACAACGAGAGTTCGCTACCTCGTCGACACTGGCGCAGAAGTTAGCGTTCTCTCAGCAAATCATAACGACCGGCTCCACGAATCAACTCTAAACTTACAGGCGGCAAATGGAAAACCGATCGCCACGTATGGCAAAAGGTACGTCTACCTTAACGTGGGTTTACGCAAACCCATTCATTGGATTTTCGTTGT